GGGCATTTATATATATATATTTATATATATATATATATATATAGCGTGAGGCGTAAGCCTTAAGCCAGTGAGGCGATGCGGGCCTTAATCAAGTTGAGGCGCAAGCCTCATAAAAAAAACTCGAGGCGTAAGCATCGAGGCATTTTTTACTGGAATTGCGCAAAGGCGGGCCTCAAGGCGAGCCTCATATTGCGCAATTTTAAACCATGCTTTAAACCTTTGAAAATCCTACATCTAGGTCGTTATAATCAACTCTGCTGTTTGTTTCGAGGACCAGGATGTGGATAGGGAGGGAGGGGTCCACTTTCGATGTTCCAACGTTGTGGGGAGCTCTGAGTGTGTTGTTAAGGGCGCTACAAATTAAAAGATGAAAGTGTGTTTGAGCAGGGAATGCTACATGAACATGACTATGCCTCAACTCTTAACCTACAGTTCTTGGATTAGGAATAGGAGAATGGGAAGAGGATTGCATTTTGAATTTTTGACAAATTCTTTGATTTAATTCCACAAAAGTTGCATCCATCATCCAACAACCACATAAAGCTTGTATAATATTTTTGCGGTCTACGAACCTTTGCTTAAGTTTGTTGTTTTTCTTACTAATTATTTCAAAATCATTGTTTCAATATTTGACCTGATCTGAAAACCCGATCAAAATATTTCGAGTTCGGGTCAACCCATTTGGAAAATGGGTCGTGTTCAAGCTACAATATTTGACCCAATCAAAAATTCGGGTCGGGTTCGAGTCAACCCGATTGACCCTGGTCACGCTCGCCCTGCGCTAACACCTCGTGCTATCAGCCTCATGCGCGCAATGTCACGACCCATCCAGGATACTCGAATTAACGAAGTATGAACGAAAAGTCGTATGGGTGTAACATTTCATTCAATTTCTTACAATTTAACATATAACTTCTCAATACAACTGAAGAGCCAGTATTAAAAAAATTCATAAAACTACTATTACCATTTTTCAATCTGAATATTTAAATCAATCATAAATTACATGTATTCATTTTGCAATTTGGGTTGGGTTCAGGTCACAACTGAATTGGACTCGGGTCAGTTCTTGCTTCAACCCGAACCTGACTCGAATTCCTATTTTGACTCCCCTACCAATTAAAATTTTCTTAATGTTGTACTTAGACCTTGTGTTTAATAGAATGGAAATAATGTGATGTGAAACCAGGAATTGTTTGTGAGTATTAATAAATAAATTGTTGAGCAATGATAAATTAAATCTTAATACTTCACCCAAATAGGTTCAAAGAAGTTCTTATAAAGAGGCTATGCAAAGGCAATCGATCACAAACTAAAATTAGGGAACCCTTGAGCTCAACAAATATAAAGTAATGAAATGACTAGTTCAACACAATCTACGGGTTAACAAAGTGATGTGTTCACCTTGAGCTCCAATAGTCACTCTCTCTCAAGTTGGTAGGGTTTGACGGAGAAGCAAGATCAACACACTTAGTGATGCCACCAATAGAAGGTAGAAGCCTCGGGTAGTAGTCGTTGGAAAGGTAGTCAAAGTAGGTGTAGGTGGATGATTGACCACGTACCAGCGGCCCGGAAGGATGCGCTCTTCAATTGAAAGGGTCACTTGATATAAAATGCGATCCACGTATTCTTCCACCAAGTTGTTAAAGTCCGGATTGAAATTGAAGGAAGTGGATTGAATGAAGTCGGTCCATCCATGGAATCTTCTACAAATCCGGGATCAATCTTTGAATCGGCCGTTCATGCTTGCCTTGAATGGGGAGCAATGAAGATTGAGTGATGTGAAGGAGTGGGAGCGGCAGTTTGGAGGGAGTTGATGGGGTCTGATTGTGAGAGGAAGAGGGAGAGGGTTGGGTAAGAGAGGGGCGGATTGGTTGGGTTAGTAAGGTCGAGAGAGGGATTTAGTAAATCTGAAATTAAATTCAGATTTCACTAAGGGAAGGAGAGGGGCCGGCGGATTAATGGGGTATTAGTGGGGAATTAATGGTGATTTCAATTTAAATTGGAGAGAATAAATGCTTAGTGCCGGCCATATAGGGAGGAGTTAAATTTGAATTCAAAATTATCAAAGGAGCAATAAGGGGCCGAGCCAGTATAGGGAGGAAGATTAAGGGTTTCATTTAAAGAGTGCCCCCCCCCCCTTTAAGGAAATAAAACTTAGAAAAAAATCAATCACTGAGATTAAATTTTCCTAATTGAGTAGGATCTAATTTAGGAAAGTAAATGAAAGGCAATTGGATTTTAAATTTCAGAATTTTGGGACAAGGTGGCCTGCGGGTTAGGCTTGGGTGGGAGAGGGGTGGTGGGGTGGGGTCGGCTGCCTGGCTGATGAAGTGGCCGGTGGCTTGTTAGGTGGAGGGGCGGTGGGTAATGGGGAATCAAGGGGAGGGGTTGAGGCCGTCGGTTTGGGGAGATAAGGAGGGGATTGCCGCCGGTATAGGGGAAGAGGGTAGAGGAAGATGAAGACTAAAATAAAAAAACCAAGAACTCACAAAGAAATTGTAGAATCTCGAAACTTGGAATCCTCCAAAGGTTGACTGGTATTGCTTTCACCCATCTAGGTTTTTTTCTCAAGAACTCACTAAGAGATCAAAGAAAGCTGAAATTTTCTTCATAATTCATCATCCCAATACAATACAAGAGGCCTCCTATAAATAAGCCCAAATGAAAGAAAAACCGAAAAGGCTAAAGTGCCCTCAGGCTACAACATAGACTCAATTCCCCATAGGGGTAAAATGGGAAAACTCAAATGCAACATAATACATAGAATAGAAAATAAATCAAAAATACGGACTCGGAATTGTAGCCATCAATCTACGATTCCTCCGACGATACACATGCCTGAATCTTTGGCGGATGTCCTCATCATAATGACTTGCTTAATGCTCTTACACCACTTTTGACATTATTTTTGCTTATAAGGATTACCAATTTTGTTCATTAGATGCTGCCTATATTTTATGTTAGAGATTATGTAAGCTTTCTATTTTGCTATACAATTAAGACCAATGAGAAATAGGAAAACACGGGCTAGTGTGAAGGTACATAAACTCTTCAATATTCTTGAAGTTCATTGTAGAAAAATAACTTGGTATGTTATCACATTAGGTTAAATGCTTGTTTAAAAACAAGAGGCACACATTTTAAATTTTTCCTAACATATGGGGTTAAGTGCTTGCTCTTCAAATATAAGGCCTAAGATTCAATTCCTTGCTCCTACTAGAATATAATCTATGAATGTTATTTTTATTATTCTCTCAAATCATAATCTCATTTTAGTAAGAATGTACGTATTTGTTCCAAAGTTCCACTTACCCTTTTCCATACCTAAAGATAAGGCCATCTTTGTTTATTATTCTACCAATTATTTGATAGAAACTAAAAAAAAACATATTTTTTCTTTATAGCATTTTATAATAACTTTCCATAACCAGTAATAGTTTTTTATATAAGATATAATAGTTCATAAAAATATTGGGTGGATTTTACTAATTGAGGAATGTTTTAACTGGTGAATTTGTTGTGTAATTGACTTGAAGAATTGGCTAATGTGCTTTTTATCCTGGAACCAAAGTTTTTATGCTTGTTGAGATATAAACATACCCCTTGAAAGTTGAAATGCATGGTGGAAGCATGTTCTATATGCATGGTTCCATAACACATGTTAGTCTTGACTTTTAAGCTATAGCTAATCAGTTCGAGAAAATGGGTGATTATGATTGTATAGAGAGTTGACTAGCCATGCTAGAGGTTATAAAATATCAGTCATTTTAAATTTCGTTCGTGAATTACTTCATATCTTTACTTTATTTTGAATTTCTCATATATAGCATGGCACGATGTTAGGTTTCCTCCATTATTGGTTTTGGTTTGAATAACAAAAAATACTATTTGAATTCAGGGACAAGATGACATGTTATCAAACCCTTCCTAAATCTTGCATTGTCAAAAGCTTCAAGCATTGATTTTAGTAGGGCTTTATGTGTAAACATGCGGGTTCACATTTAGTCATGCATAATTATTAATGCATTACGCACATTCACATGATTGCTAACATAATAGTACTTTGTTTATATATTTTGCCAACCTACTTTTTCTAGTTGTGTTTTTGGATTTTGCTTACTACTAATGATTTCATTTGCATAGAAGGGATCTATCAAGCAAAAGATTTGAGAAGATTGAAGACCTTTATCCTAACATGGAAGTACATGTAAGACTTATTTTTTGCTTTTGTTTCTATTTTGTCTATATTTGTTGAGCAATTTATTCATTTCCTTAATTGTAAAATTTATGTCTTTCTTGAAACTGCAGGTTTGCTTTTATATTCAAATTTTCATTGATTTCTTAGCAGGTGTTGAATGGAAATGTGGAATTTTCTATTCTATTGTTTTATGTTGATAAATTGAATAGTGAATTGGACATTAACATTATTAATATTTGAGGGCATCAATATGTTAGGTGTTACTAATTATATTTTTTCCAAGATTGATTTTGGTAGAGTCTATGGGTGTCAAACTTGGCAAACCTGAAACATGTGCGGGTTATAATTTAGGTGCAAGTTTCTATTGAATGAAAACACATTGTTCTTTTTGTTGAATTGAAGCGGGAACATCAAATAGGATCGAAAATAATGTGCTATAGAGGAAACACAAGGAAAAAGTTAATCCAACTAGAAAGGAACCAAGGATTGTGTGGCTTGACTTCAACCAAGCCTACACCCACAGAATTGGTGAGAGGATCCTACCCACACAATAAACAAAAGTCACAGTCATGGTGTACGAAATGAAGCAACATTTATTGTCCTCTTTGAAACTCAAATACACCCACACACAAAGCAAAGAGACCTAATTAATCTCTTATATACAATATTACCTATTATCAAGATATCAACCACCAAAACAAAGTCAATCAAACCTTTGATATGTGTGCCACTTGCTAGAAATAAAAAATTTAAAGAAATTCACTCCAAGAAAGTTTTATCATGAGGGTATTTTTGTATTCTTTTCACTAGAAATGCTAAGTTAAAAGGTTTTGTCGTTGGAGCTTCCAAGCATATCTAAGAATTCCTATTATATACACCTCTATAAATAATCACACAAACATATCCAAAAAAAAGAAAGGCATATATCCCAAGAATTTTTTCTGTTGCACGGAGGTCGATGTGTTGTCATTGATTTGGTCCGGTTGATATAATATGATAATATAAGGATTATTCTAAGGAATCTTCATATTTAATATTAAAATTCTCCCCCTTGATTCATTAGTGGCAAATTTGAATTTTCTTTAGAACTCCTTTCTAACTTGAGAACTCTTAAGTGCTAAGGCCTTGACATGCTTCTGCATTTGAATTCCTACAAATGACCTCAAAGCTTAATTATTGCACAAAATAGTACATCATCAATCAATTGTACTAATGCTTATGCCATAAAATTTAAATGTTTTAAGTAGTTTTTTCCACGCCCTAAAGACTATATTGGTATGACTAGCCATCGAAAAATAGATTGTGCAACGAAAACATAGTCCTCCTAATCGTCTAAAGCCTTCATATCATCTCATTTCTGAATAGTTTTCATTAGTTTTCTTGCATCCAAGAAGCCAACTTTTTTTTGTTTCCCAAAATGAGATTCTACAACACGAACTACAACCACTCCTTGGTTGTATCTGCAAAGACTTTCTATAAAATAGAATTTGATCATCGAAAGAATCTTAATTTATTGAATTTTGAAACAAAAAAAAAAGTCTCAATCATGAACTTTTATGATTATTGATATGAAAACTATGTTTTGATATTAATTTTGTTGTAATGAGGTTGCCAAATTACTTGAAGCCGAAGCTTTAAGTATCATTGAGAAAGATGCGGCAAAGTAAAACACAACAGACAAAGAGAACCCAACCACTAGGGCACTAAGATTTACATTTTTCAATTTCAATCAAACCTATGTCCATGGGATAGGAGAGATGATTGGATCCTCAAATAATAAATGAAGGCAAAACCATGATGTACAAAATGAAAGAATACCTCCGACCCTTCTCGAAACCTAGGTACACCAATATCAAATTAAGATGTCAAAACAATCTCTCACATACAAGATGATTATCTCTTACTAAAATTTGAGCCAACAAGGAGAAACCATCCATAACCCTTGTTGATGCCACTCGCCATTGTTGTAATCCTACAGGCAATGTCTCTAGGGAGAAACTAAATTTGATAGATATGAAGTCCAAGAAACCTTAACCGCGTGGTTATGTGTTGTATCTTCACCAATATAAAAATTGAGAATATGTTATGAAAGCCTCCAAGCATTGCTTGAGAGACCCTTAAAGATGGGCCTTCATATATTGCCGCATGAACATATCTAAAGAAGAAAAGCAATGATCTAAAGATCTATTCCTGTTTCACATTGACCGCTGTGTTGGCATTGTTCTAGTCCATTCTATCTTATATGATCACATATGAAATTTTAGGTAATCTCTATATTGAGTTGTGTTTTACGTCTTTTGTAATCTAAATTTTGTGGTCATTGGTTGTGTCATGTACTGTGCAACTCTGGAGAAAAACCAGTTAATTGTGGCACAAAAAGTTTTTAATGCTTATCTTATGAAAGAGTATTCAACGCCTTTTAGTTACGTTGAGTGAAGGCAACAATTATATTTTGCAAAACAGAAGCATGAAGTGAAGTGAAATTCAAAGTTGCCAGACTATGACCAAATTTCTTAGATGAGTATCAACAACATATTACAATTTATCTAACCTAGTTTACCGCATCATCGAAGGTCTAAAACTGTAATAACTCATCACGGATCAATATGATGGTTATAATTCAAATAATTATTCACTTTTTGGAATTTTTTTTTTAGTTGTTGAACCTATCAATTAATTCATATTTTAACTTTTTGTTAGAGCATGGTGTTTTGAAATGACAGGAATTTCCTATTATAAATCTTTGATACAGAATGACCTAACCTAGCTTGATGGGGAATACATATATTGGATGGCCTTAATTATCCAAAGTTGATATACCATTCTGTGAATATGCTCTTAAAATTTTTAAAATTGATGGTATTTAGTTACATCCGTTTAAACTGGACTTTGAAATTTGCAGGGTTATGTTAAGAATGTTACATCTAGAGGATGCTTTATTATGCTTTCACGAAAGCTAGATGCTAGAATCCTCTTATCAAATTTGTCAGACGGGTTTGTGGAAAATCCTGATAAGGATTTCCCTGTTGGGAAATTAGTGTGCGGAAGGTAAAATTCAACATTTATTTATTAAGTAAGTTGTTTCCTTAAGAAAATTATGCGAACATAAAATGTTTGCAGGGTGCTTATTGTGGAGTTTTCATCGAAGAGAGTGGATCTAACCTTTAAGAAAAATGTTGATAGTCAATTACCAAAACCTGATCTATGTAGCTTTTCAAATTTACACGTTGGAGAAGTTGTTTCTGGACATATTAGACGTGTAGAAAAATTTGGTTTGTTCATAGCAATTGATGGAACCAGCCTGGTATAAATTTGTCTTACACTTCCATATTCAAATTATAAGATTAGGTAATCTGATAAATGAGTTGTTCTCAGGTTGGTCTATGCCACAGTTCAGAACTTTCTGACGATCAAATTGAGCATATTGAAACCAAATATAGAGCTGGTGAACGGGTTGAAGCAAAAATTTTAAAGGTTAGCTCTTCGATATTAGTATTCCGAAATATTCTCTAAAGTTCTCATTTTGGTGTCATTTCATTCTTTAATCAGTGATAAAATGACAATTGAAAATCTCCCTAACATTATTTAACAGTTTTTTTGAATCAAAACACTCTGTTTATGATCACAAAGGAACACACTAAAGCTCGCCAAACCAACAAGCATGCGACATTAATTCCCAAACATTTTCTCTCAGCCCCCAAGCAAGCTAAATCAGCCCAAAAAAACTCATCTTTACCCCTAAATAAGCTAAAAAATCCCCTCACCCTACCCAGAAGAAGACAAGAAATAAGAACACTTGATTTTTCATGTTTCTTAACCAGGTTGATGAAGAAAGGCAGCGGATATCACTTGGAATGAAAAAATCTTATGTTGAAGAAGCCAAGAATTCTGAAGTTTCTGGCACTAGTGCTACGATGGACTTAACACTGCCGGCATTGAAGCAAGGAGACCTGCCATGCATTAAAGACATATCTGATCAACAAAATGATGGCGTGGCAGCCATTCTGTCGCTTGCAGAGTCGAGAGCTTTAGTGCTACCATTACAAGTTTCTCTTGATGATTCAGAGAACACTCATATGGAGAATGTCGTTGTTGCAAACCAAGGAAATGCTAATGAAGCAACGGAGATTGAGAAGAGGAAAGATAGATACAAGAAAAAAAAGGAAAAGCAGGAGAGGTGATATATGTTTTAAATTTATATTTTTATATTTTTATGTTTTTTTCCCTTTGAATTCTTGGGTTATTTGGTTGTGCAGAGAACTTGAGATACGTTTGTCTGAGGAGAGACGTTTGCAAAATGATATACCAGAGACCGTTGATGATTTTGAAAAGTTAGTGAGAAGCTCCCCAAATAGTAGTTTCTTTTGGATAAAATACATGGAGTACATGTTAGCTCAAGCAGATGTTGAGAAGGCGCGCTCCATTGCTGAAAGGTACCTACCTTGGTTTTAGGACAATTTGAAGGTTTCCATTACTGTCACTGGTTTTACAATAAAGCGCAGAAACAAATAATCCAAAATTTCAAGAGTTTTCTTTAATGGAACGCTGCTAGTCGATTCTGTATGTATTTAGGAGTTGTATATTTGATGATTTGTTTGTTCTATGATCATAAGTTAATCAAACTTCGGGTTTGTTTGGGACGGCTTTCTATTTTTGTACTAGAAAGCTGCTTTAAGAAACAGTAAGAAAAGCCGTCCCAAATGAAGTGTTCAGCATTTTCTACTTTTGCCAGTGTGAATGGTAAACCGGAACTGATTTCGTTTTTTTTTAAATTGGATTTGCACATTTTCTATCTTCAAATAGGAAGCAGAAAAAGTGAGTGTCTCTATATTTTCATGATTACTTCATTCTTGAACAGGACTCGATTAATCTTTTTTTGGTTTTTGCTTGAAGGGCTTTAAAAACAGTTATCTTCCAAGAAGAAGGAGAGAGGCTTAATATATGGGTGGCTTATTTCAATCTTGAAAATGCATATGGGAATTCACCGGAGGTAAAGTGGCAAGTTTCTTTTTACATATTTATTTGTATTATTTTGATAACTTTATTCATTTTGATATGATTTTATTTCATTTATATTAAATTTTTAATGACCTTGGAACTGATCAGGAGGATGTTGAAAGAGTCTTTAAAAGGGCTTTGCAAACGTGTGATACAAAGAAGTTGCATTTAGCCCTTCTCGGGCTGTATGAAAGAACAGAACAAAATAAGCTAGCTGATGCTTTACTGGATAAAATGACTAAGAAATTCAAAAATTCTTGCAAAGTAAGTGATTATTTCATTTAATTCTTCCACTTTTGACGTGATGAGAGTTCTATCAAATATTATTTCTTTGCAGGTCTGGTTATGTCGTGTGCAACACTTTCTGAAGCTTGGAAAAGATGGCATTCAGTCTGTTATTAATCGTGCTCTACTAAGCCTTCCAGCGAAAAAACACATAAAATTCATCTCTCATACTGCTATTCTGGAATTTAAATGTGGAGTACCTGACATGGGAAGGTCCCTGTTTGAAGGCATATTGCGTGAACATCCAAAGAGAACTGATATATGGAGTATTTACTTGGATCAAGTAATTTGTTCTATCCTTTACTCCTTTGTTGCTAGCCCTTAAAGCTTTTTCAATTCCTGAGTTCTTCATATTCTTCTTAGGAAATTCGCTTGGGAGACCATGAAGTGATAAGAGCTTTGTTTGAAAGAGCTACATGTTTGAGTCTTCCTGCAAAGAAAATGAAGGTATGAGCCCTTAATTTTTTATTGTCGGCATTTCAAAAGTATTGATTGATTAAGGCTTTGTTTGGGACAGCTTTTTTACTGCTTTCTAGTACAAAATTTTTAATTTTTATACTAAAAAGTTGATTCAAGAAACAATAAAAAAGCCATCTCAAATGAAGCCTAAGTATTTCTTTTTAGGGAAATTTACATACATATCTCTTTATACCATCCTATTTACTTATTTAACACCCAACACTTTAATATTACATACATATCATCCTATATTATTTTAATATCAAATATAACATTCATATTTCCTTCCTACCACTCATATATTTCATTTCTATCACTCATATTTGATATGAAAATAAACTATGGATGGTATATATGTAATATTAAAGTTTTAGGATGTTTAATATGTAAATAGAGTATTATAGGGTGGTATGTATGTAAATCTCCCTTCTTTGGATGCCTTTTGTATCTATGTTGATCACAATGTGATTTGACCACTTAAATGAGTTTCTTTGCTTTAAGCTTATAGATTTAAGGGCAGTTGGGTTGCAAGTAGGATTAGTTAGTTTGGCTTTAATAAATTCCATTATTAAGATTACATAATTCTTTGGCGTGTGAAATCCTGACAATTAAGGCTAAATTTAAAATAGTTAGGCTCAAATGTAATTGTACTATAATTTTAGGTAATTAACTATTAACATATTTTAACTAAATATTTATATGAATTTAAGTAAGATCATTAATATTTAATGCCTTTGATTGTGATAATTAAACCTTAAATATTTAATTAATTGAATTATTGATGTTGTGATTGTTTATTGACTATTTACTTAGACTAATAAGGGGTTAGTTAGGATTCTAAACAAGATTAATATGGTTTAATCAATATTTAATTATGATAATTAGGACTAAGATAACTAATTAATCAACTAGTTGTAGTAATAATTTATGAATTATCTTCTTAGAGACTGGCTTATAAACTAGTTGTGGTTCTACACTTCTAATAGAGTTTATTGTGGTAATTAGATCTGAGATAATGGTAAAATAATTAATTGATGAAAGAGATTAGCAATCAACTATTCAGTGCTTTAATTGGGATTTAATAATGTTGATCTGTTCTTAGCTAGATTAATTAGGGATTACTTAGAATTTAATAAAGCTAGTTAAATGTATATTTTTAATTAATTGTTATTAAACCTAATTATTTAGAACTCATTTATATATATAGTGTGTGTGTGTGTTGATTTGAAATTAATTTTATTGAAAATTATTCTGATAGTTGATAAAGTGGAATAATATATTAATAAATTGATGCAATTAGCACTTAATTATTGATTAGGATGTTTTTTTAGTTGTCCTGATTAAGATGATTAGTATTTTTTATTAATATTTAAAAGGGTAATCTTTAATTAAGCTGAAGAAATTTAGGTTTTTTAAAATATTTATATTTTTTGGTAGTTTTAGTTATTATGATCTTAACTTAGACCAAGGGCCTAGTATTATTGAAGTATATTAATTACTAAGCGCTTAGATGGATTAAGCAGATATAATTAATCTTATTAAATATAGTTTATTTACTAAAACATAAAAATAGCATTGGCAATTTTTATTTAATAATTAGAAAGTTAATTAATGCTAATGCTGCTTAATAAGGATAATAATGATTAATTGAACTAATTTTAAGTTAATTGACATTAGATCATTTAATCCTTAATTAGCTTAAATCTTTTAACTCCTGGTATGGTGAGATTCACTGATTTAGGCTTTTGTTTGCGACGATTTTCTTACTGCTTCTTATAGTAATATTTTAATATAAAAATTTAAATTTTTATACTAAAAAGTTGCTTTAAGAAGCAACAAGAAAGTCGTCCCAAACGAAGCCTTAGTAAATCCCTTAATTCTTATCAGATTTAGCAAATCTTTCTTAAATCCCCCCCAAAATAATTTATCTTTATAAAACTTCTTTAGAGCTAACTCCACTTCAATGATTAATGCTTCGTTTGTGATGGTTTTCTTGCTGCTTTCTAAAGCAGTTTTTAAGTATAAAAATTTTTGTAACGTGAAATTTTGTAATAAAAATTTACTTTAGAAAGCAGCAAGAACGCTGTAAATATTATTTCAGACGATTTTCTTATTGCTTTTTAAAGCAGCGTTTCAATGCTTATATAATTTTGTCAGGATTCAGTAATTTTGGGGATGAAATTTTATCCTCTGATTCAATATTTTGTTCTTGGATGGTTAATTAGTTAATCAATTAGCTTATTTTTATGCAGTTTTTGTTCAAAAAATATCATTCTTATGAAGAATCCCAAGGAGACCAAGAAAGGATTGAGCATGTCAAGCAGAAAGCTCTGCAGTATTTGGAGAGTTCTTATTGAAAATTAAAATAGCTCCAGTGGCTCACTTCCTGTAGCTTTTTGTATTAATCAAATTATTCGCTTCTATATGTATATTTATTTAATAATTTATTTATTTATTTTGCTCATCTTTCATAAAACTTTTGAACCAATATAAATATTCTCTTAGATTTTGTAAACTATTAAGATAAAATTTGGCCAATTAGATTTATTTTAAGTATAGGATTAATTAGTTAGAATTTTTATTGTATTTATTTTAAAATAAATGCAATGATTAAAAATAGCTACTTATTCTTAATTATCATATTATATATTTTTTTTTACAATTTATCAATGCACGTGTCTTAACCTTTCTTTATTATCAAGTATACAAATTTTTATCTAAATGTTAATTTTGAAAAATAAAATTAAAACATTTTTTAAATAATAAAAAAATTTGGATATCTTATAACCTAAAGTTTTAGATAGTTCTCCAAGCATTCTAATTTAATGTAGTAAAAAAATATATAACTCTATGTAAAACTAAATTATTCAAAATTAATATATTTAAAATAAATTGTTAAGAAAATAAGAGTGTTTGAAGTTAATATTTAAAATAAATAAATGATTTGAATAAATAAATAAATATAATAAAAGATTAAGGCTTCATTGGTAGAAAAATTATTTTGAGCAGAATTAGAATGGCAAGAATCATTTGAACATGTAAGTACACATAATTTGGAGAAGATTATTAGGTGCGGAGCGCGGATGGAGAGTAACGTCTGCACAAAAGTATAGGGTACTCAGCTAGGTACAACTCGGTATTGTTGGGCACCGTTAGGTACCGCTTGGTACTCTGTGCTTGTGCGGATGGTCCACACTCCTCATCTAATAATTTTTCCATATATTGACAATTGTCCATGTGGCAAGAAAGTTGTCATGTTTTATTAATTTAAGAATTTCCTCATTTTTTAATATTTAAGTTTACAATATCTCATTTTTAAATTTTGCCTAATATAAATAGGAGGTAAGGTTATAAAGTTCCTGAAAATATGTTAGAGAACTTGCTCACTATAGGGAGAAATTATTCTGTGTGAACGCCGAACGCAGTTTATCATTCAGAGACCAATTAGAATGTGTCACGTCAGCAATATCGAGGTGCGGTGTTGAGTAGTATCGATCCGGGTACCAAGCAGGGAACGATGTGGCGCATTCTGGTTGGTCTCTGGACGACGTTCAACATCCGCACATAATAATTTCACCACTATAGGGGGAACTTATTGTCTAGCCAAAGATTCACTCATATCCTTCACACGAGCAAAAAAAAAAAAAAAGTAATATCTTTCCTTCAACAATCCCCTTGAAAACAACCATTCTCATCTCCCAAGAATAAGGTTACCCTCTTCTTGCCATATATTCAATGTATGCACCATATCTACGACCAATTTATTGTCATAATCAGATCAAACCTAATAACTCTCCTTTATGAATGAGTGGCTTGCAGTAGTCTTAAAAAATGACTTCCACATCAATTTTCTAGTATATAGGTGAACAAACCATAGTTTACAAGCATTCAAAGATTTTTAACCATAGGATTATAGAATTTTGCTTCCCCTAAAATATCTCCATATGTTGGCCAAGTCATTGATGCTCTACTAACATTAACTTATGCATATGCAAAATACTCCTTAATAGAAGCGAAATCATCTATTTAAATATTTATAAATCCCCCTTCCTTTTTTTTTTCTTTTTTTTTTTATATACTTTTGTTGATAGCCATCTTACTTTGCACATCACTTATCGATTATATCATAATATTGACAAACTACATCACATAAGTTAATGTTATTGGATGAGTTCATGTAAGAGCTTTTCGAAAAAAAAAAAAGTCCTTACATATCCACTTCAAAGATTCCTAACCTTTATAAATAAGAACACGTGTAAATTGGGGTGTAAATGAGCTCGGTCGAGTTGAGTTCTTGCTTAATCGAGCCAAATTTGATTAATTTATTATGAGCTCTAGCTTAGCTCTAATGAAAAATATGTTGGCTCAATCTCGATAAGAAAGCTCAAGATTGACTCGCTTTGGAAGTTTATTCTTTTATTTTGATTCTGGATAAAAAAAAAATTAGTTAGGGTAATTTAAATGGCGATGTATTAAGTAATATTAAAAGAGAACCAAGTTCGACATTGTGCTCGTAGAATATATGAGCTTGAGTTTATGCTCAAACTCGTAGCTCGATGGGCTCAACTAGTAGAGAAATTATTAGGTATGATCACCAGACCATCTTGAAGCGAATCAAGCTGCGCCACGTCACCCGGTACACAATGATACACAGTAAAATGATGATGTGGAGCATCTTGTCTTGACATCTAATGACCGCTGTTAATAATTTCTCCAACTAGTGAGCTCTCTCTCTCTTCTTCTTTACTCTTCCACTATCGATTTCGTTCATTTGACCAACGTTGCTTGACTTCAATCCTATTGCATTCATTTGACTAAGCCATCCATTACTAAACTATGATCATCCAATCATCGTCTCACCGACTATGGTTCTCGGGACACCGTCGTCTTACTACAATATTTGGACCAATGTTGACGGATTTGTTGTAATTTTAATAGTAACACGAAGAGTTAAAAATTATTGTTGAAATATTAGTGATGAATTAGGGTAAATCATTGGACATTAACTTAGGTAAAAAGCTTAGCAAAATGGATTTAATATCTCAAGTAAAATTCTTTAAGAATAAATGAAAAATGAAAATTCATTGAACCAACGAGCGTTTGAAAGACACGAAGGATTCATAGAACCCTTCACACTCCCTTCCCGTTGTTCTTATGTACAACCTCTAAGAAATGAGCTTTTTTGCTTTAGTTCGCCATCTTTTTTTAGTTGTATTCTATTCCTGTTCTAACTTGCCGTTCTTTCAACATGTATTTGATAGGAAGTACTTGAGTTCGCAAGTAACCCCAAGGGTAATACTCGAGTTCACAAGCAAATTAAGTTTCTTCAATTCGAGAGAAAGAAACCGCTCTCTAAATCTTAGCCAAGTCTACAGCCTAAGAACACAAACCCTAGATCTCAAATTCCTTCCAAATTCAAGATGAAACCCCTAATTCTATCATTAGCCCCTAATTAAAGAAAAATGAGACGTACAAAATCCCTAAACAGCCCTCTAATTCAAAATTCCCTTCTAAACACCCATTCGATTAATTGCTTGGGACCACTAGGCCATCCGCCCCCCTCTACCTTGGTTCCGCCCTCCCTTTACGCCGGCGGCAGTAAACTTGAACCTGTCCAGGTTGGACCGGTTCAACCGGCCTAACAGTATTTTGTAGTCATGGCAGACTTGGAGCATATGTTGTTGGAGGCTGCTGGCCGGAGTGGCACATCATGAAGGAAGACACAATCTGATGGAAGTGATTCCAACTATAATGATTCAAACTTTTCTATGGAAAGCATTCTGGTTTTAATATCCCTCTTAAGAAGAAGTTTGAAGATTCCAAGAACAATAACCAGACAAGTTGGGTTAACGAAAATAACAACTATATGATGATTATGACAAATCCAGTGGCGATGACTCTGATAGTGCACCTTCCATTGGAAGTGATCTTTACAAAGATGATAAAGATAAGGAAGAGCTGGGTAAAATGACTGAGCTGGACAGGGAGATGATCTTAGCAGAGAGGAGTACAAGAATAGATGATTATCTGTTGAAGAAGAAAGCACATGGCCAAAGAAAGCCACTCAATATTGCAGCTGAGAAAGCCAGGTTGAGGAAGGAAATAGTAGCGAATGAGTCTCGTGGAGAGGATTAAGAGACTAAGGCTTCGTTTCAGACAACTTTCTAGTATCAAAATTTTAATTTTTGAACTAAAAAACTGCTTTACGAAGCAGTAAGAAAGCCCGTCAACTTTCTTATTGCTTCTTAAAGCAGCTTCCTAGTATAAAAATTAAAATTTTAGTACAAAAAAACTGCCTTAAGAAGCAATAAGAAAGCAGTTTCAAACGAAGCCTAAAAGGCTTAAGACAAAGTTGAAGGGACTAGCAGAAGTGTCGTGGCAGTCCAAACAGTTTGATGCAAAGGCTGTTAAATTGGCAGAGATTAATAGGAAGAACAGATTAGCCAACTTCAGAAATGCATCTGAGAGGAGGCCTATTAATACCAGCCTAAAGGCTGGCGAGGAAAGATCTGATCCCTTCTCAAGGAGGTGGAGTAGATCTAGGAATTATTATCCATCAAAACCAGGGGAGTTCCTGATGAAGCTACTGTTAGGGCATCTCCAACCGAAAATCATATTTTTCACTCTAAAATGCAGTGAAACTCAAAAATGCTGTGAATCATCTCCAATCGAACTCCATTCTACGGGCTTCTGGGAAGGTAACGGTCTTTCTCCTTTTTGGCGTGTATTTTTGGCAAATCTGGTTGAGACAAAAAAATGGCATTGGTGAACAGTGTAAGACCAATATTGACGTCGCACTGTTCACCCGCAAATAAATAGCGGAAGGTTTGACATTTTGGAGCGACGGAACGGCGCCATAGGCATTTGGTTGTTGATGCTCTTAACGAGGCAAATGAAAGAACAAATAAAAGCTCTGTTGGTGCAAATGGCATGGGAGCAAATGAGGGGGCCGAGGTAGGCATGGAAGCCACCGCTGCTGCTCTCATGTTGGTGAACACTAAGAAAAGCTACCATTGGCTGCAAAGTCCCAGAAAATGACGGCAAGCGGAATTCCCTGACATTGACCGTCAGTGACTACAAGCGACGCAGGCTTAGCTGAACAATGGCATGCTATATCAGGTAAGTTCTTGGAAAAATTATTGCGAAACGTAATCCGGAGATCAATCAGAATATATCGCATCATCCATGTGTTTGGTACTGTGGCTCGGTACTGATGATGTGCTGCATTTTGATTAGTCTCCGAACGACGTTCTGAGTCCGATCTCCGCATATAATAATTTCTCTATGTTCTTGTGCATCTAATTCTTCACTGCATCTGAAGTTATGTGTTAAGTTATATGCTTGGTTTACTAGCTCTTCTACTAACATGCCGTTTAGATATATCATATAAGGGCTCTTTTGTGAAGTTATGCTTCTCAAGTTTTATCATTACTATTGCCTCTTTTCAGTGATCTTTTCTCACCA